AAAAAAAAAAAAAAACTCAAGAAGCCAGGCACCAGTGGCTCACGCCTGTAATCCTAGCTACTCCGGACGCTGAGATCTGAGGATCGTGGTTCGAAGCCAGCCCAGGCAGGAAAGCTCATGAAACTCTTATCTCCAATAAGCCACCAGAAAACAGGAAGTGGCGCTGTAGCTCAAGTGGTAGAACGCTAGACTTGAGCTGAACAGATGAGGGACAGCTCTCAGGCCCAGAGTTCAAGGCCCATGACCAACAAAAAAATAAACAAACAAATAAAAGCTTAAGAAATAAAGTAGAAAACAACCATTGATGAAAAGCTAACTATATTGTCATTATAATATTTCTTCAAAAATACAATGCCATCTATAAAAATCATATAAGAAAACTTTCATTTCCACAACTAGAGATGAAAGTTTAAAATGGGGATTAGCTGGATAGGAATTACTTAAAAGGAGTTAAATGAACTATGAAGGTCTAACTTTTTAAAAAGCTAGAAAACTATTCAATTTCATATCCTTTGTACCTACTCTTCTCAGAATAGCACTTAATATTGGTAACAGTGGGTTAAAGCTCAATTTCTCATAGCTGAGCATGACGGTACACAACTATAATCCAACATTCAGTAGGCTGAAAATTAAGTTTACAGCCACTCAAAAGGCTGACTTAAAGGCAGGAGTCCTCATCCCCAACTTCTTGTTAAGCTGGGGATCTCATTAACATTTTGCCAGGACTGGTGTTGAACTACAAACCTTCTGATCTCTACCTCCAAAAACCAATAAAATGCATTGACCACTGTTTTAAAATTTTTCTTATTATACTGGCAATTTTTTTTCCAACAATCAATCTATTCATAGCTGCCAAGACATCCACTATCATTATTTTATGGAAAATCTGTAATTGCCACATGCTGGGTATTAAGTGCTTTAGATTATGAATGCAACTTACTAGCAGTAATTCTCCAAGTTGATATGAAATTATGCATATGGTCAGAACTTCTTAGTAACCTGCTCCAATGTTTCATTTCAAAGTCTGAATAATGTTATTTATATGATACACACAAACACACATTATATGTCTGTTTCTATATTACAGTATACTGCCATAGCTAAAGACCAATTGGTTTATTATTTTACCACAAAAGATTATTCAAAAATTTAACATTAATCAATAGACCTGGATCTTAAATGATATTAACTTTAAGGAACAATGTTATTATGAAAGAATTTCCTCTAGAAGCCTCCTTCTGAAGTAGCTGGCATTGTTTTTTTTCCCCATGCCTGATCTGGGGCTTGAATTTGTTTTCTGGGTGCTATCCCTGAGCTGTTTTGCTAAGAGTAGCACTCCACTACTTGAGCCACAGCTCTACTTCCAGCTTTTTGGTGATTAACTGGAGATCAGAGTCTCATGGACTTTCCCACTAGGGCTGATTTCAAACTGCGATCCTCAAATCTCATCCTCCTGAGTAGCTATAGCTAGGATTATAAGCATGAGCCATCAGCACCAAACTAATAACTGGTATTATTAGTGGTATAGAAAAATAATGCTCTGTCGAGAAAATAATTTCAAATTACATTTGTGCCCTTAAGCAAACACACTAAATATCAGTAAGTGAATTTTGAAGAAAAGCTAATACCACACTGTATATATACCAAGTTAAGCTATGTGACTAATAATTTAATAAATAACTGGAAGAAAAAGAACCTACCAATCTAGAGAAAACTTGGAAAATTGCACTGTGTAACGCGGAACAACACGTCGAACTCTCCGAGGTGATCGCTCTCTCTCTCTCCGAGGAGATCTCTCCCGGGAACGTTTCCTCTGAGGTGATCTTTCTCTGGATCTACGTCTTTCTCTCTCCCTTTCACGACTTAAAGCAAATTATTTTTAAATTAGTAATACTTTTAGTATTATGGAAGAGTTCTTTAATGAGATACATTTACTAGGTAATGTAAACAAAATTTCACAGAAAACTCTTAAATTGTGGCAATATATGTTATACAATTTACCATCTTTACCATTTCTAAGTGTACAGTTCAGTGATACTAGTACTTCACATTTTTGTGCAGTCCTCTCCACCATCCTAGGGCATTTTTACAACATACCTTCGGTCATCTTTCCTGTTAGGTACTTGATCCCCTCTGTCATTCCTTCCTGAAAATCTAGAAGGTGGATCTAACCTTCGTGTTGGTTGGGGCTGTGAAACTATGCGAACAGGAGGCTGCAATAAACCAGCTTTGAAAGATACAGAAAAAAATTTAACTTGTTAAAAAAAGTTCAATAGCATTAATTACATGGTTGAATTACAGAGCCAACCAAATAACTGGAATCACTAAAACTGTTTAACTAAAGTTAGGAAAATTTACTATTATTGAAGCTGACAATGTACTACTTCATGAGTATTTCCCAAAATTGAAAGTTTAAAAATTCATTTTAAAATCTTATGTTTTATTTTCTACTTCCTAGGTACAGTACACATTTAAAATAATTATGGACAAATATGAGTCCTTCATAATCAAAGATTTAAAATGTTCACTTTCAACATTTCATCGTTGTGCAAGGAATGAAGATATTTTTCTTTAAAATATGATTAATCTCATTATTTTAAAGGTTTAAAAGTCTTTAAAGGTCTCTAAGGTAAACAGAAGTACTACATTTCACAAAGTAAGAAACATGAAGCATAAATTCATTCTTCCCATTAACATATGACATTCACCATTCTATAGATAAGACTATTATTCTGTTACTACTTTATGATGAAGATATTAATTCCTTGTATGTAATGCACTATTGTGTTCTTTCTTCTCTTTTTTGGGGGGAGAGGTCACTAGGGTTGGATCATGGGGCATACCACTTGAGCCATGCCCCAACTCTACAGTGCTCATTTGATGTACTGCTTGGCAATTTGTGTCAGGAAAAACTCAATTACCTGTCTCCTAAAAAAACAAAATGTTACCCTGGAAACATACAAGCAGTTTTCAATTTAGTAACATGTTCCCTGGGACTAACTGTAAAAGAAATCAATGGAAAGCTGGGCACTGATGATTTATGCCTATAAGCCTAACTACTTACGAGACTAAAATCTGAGATGTGTCTATAAGACACATCTCCAATTGACCAGAAAAAAAGCCAGAAGTGTAGGCTCATGTGGTAGAACATCAGCCTTGAGTGAAAAACTAAGAGTGTTCTAGACATGAGTTCAAGCTCTAATACTGCCATGCACACACACGCGCGCGCACACACACACACACACACGCACGCACGCACGCACGCACACACACTCTCTCTCTCTCTCTCTGTCTCTCTCACATTGACCTTTCAAGTTAGGAGTGGTGATAGTGGTGATACATAATCCCAGAACTGGGGAAGCTGAAGTAGAAGGATCACAACAAATTTCTGATGGAAGTGGGGAAAAAAGGAATCAAGTCTATAAAGTGTTATCTTTAGATTTCTATATCCCTGAAGTAGTTCTCATCACTGTAAGTAAAGTAAAACACACTTCTGAAATACATTAAGGACACTTAAGCTTCCTTTCAGGTTTTCTTAAAATCTCTGTTATTTCTGTAACTAAAAGTATATAATCATTATAACTTGTATCATTTTATGTTAGGCAGAAACAAAAAGAAAAGACACACTGAATACAATACCTTTTTGCTGTGGCTGCTGTAAGAGAGGCTGTGGCTGAGTCTGCAACAGTGGTGTAATAGAAGCTGCTGAAATCTGGGCCTGTAGAAGTGATTGAGGCTGGGGCTGAGCCTGAACACCAAATGTTGTCTGTGGTGCAATTGGCTGAAGTACAGCAGGAGGAGTCTTCAGTAAAGGCTGAGTTTGGGACTGATTCTTAAGGGGGAAAAAAATTAAAAAAAGAAAGAAAAGAAAAAATAAACTCCCTTGTAATCAGAAGACTCAATTATCAAGTTTTGTTGTTTTTTTTTTTTTTGGGTCCAGTCGTGGGGCCTAAACTCTGGGCCTGGACGCTGTCCCTTAGCTCTTCAGCTCAAGGCTAGCGTTCTACCACTTGAGCTACAGCGCCACTTCCGGCTTTTTTCTTTTTGCTTATGTGGTGCTGAGGAATCGAACCCAGAGCCTCATGCATGCAAGGCAAGCGCTCTACCACTGAGCCACCTTCCCAGCCCCTCAATTATCAAGTTTTTATACTAACATGATTGTTTCATGTACCTGATTTGGTAGTGTTTGTATTCTTTGTGCATTCCACTTAAAAGGCATATTAGGATTATAAGTAGCTTCAACCAATACTCTGTCACCCACTTGGGGGGTTTTCCCTTTGACAGCGCTAGAAAAAAAATAGAAACTCAATTAAAAGAAGTTCCCACATATACAAAAATTTATACAAAACAGCAAGCATCTATAATACTATATGCATAGTATTTAAAGTATATACCTGAAATGAAAGCCTAGCAAGTTTTTTTTGGTCAATCATGGGACTTAAACTCTGGGCCTGGGGCCCTCAGCTCTTCAGCTCAAGGCAAGTGCTCTACCACATGAGCCACAGCTCCACTTCCCATTTTTTGATGGTTAATTAGAGATAAGAGTCTCAAGGACATTCCTTCCTGAGCTGGCTTTGAACTGCAATCCTCATATCTCAGCCTCCTGAGTAGCTAGGATTACAGGTGTGAGCTGCTGGTGCCTGGCTTCCTAGCAAGCTTTCTAAGAAAGTACATTATTGGCTGAGGTCTTGGATCAAGTAGTGTAGTGACTGCCTATCACATGGAATGCCCAGATTTCAAACCCCACAACTGTCTCCACCTCTCCCTACACTCTACCCTCCACCCCCAAAACAAGAGGCTTGAAAAATCTTCAAAACTGAGCTGGGCACAGGGCTTGTACCTGCCATTTTAGCTACTCACGAAGCTGAAATCTGGGGAATAGTGTCCAAAGCCACTTTAGGGAGGAAAGTCTGTGAGACTCATTTCCAATTAAGGACCCCCCAAAAAACAGAAGTAGACTTGTGGCTCAAGGAATAGAGTGCTAGCCTTGAGCAGGAAAGTTTAGGGACAGTACCCAGGCCCTGACTTCATGCCCCAGGACTAGCCCAATACAAATAAAAAACAAAAACAAAAAAATATCAAAACTAATGTTTTACCTTTTTTTTTCTTTTTTGTGTTTGGGGGGGCTTGAACTCTGGGCCTGGACACTGTCCCTAAGCTCTTCAGCTCCAGGTGAGTGCTCTACCACTTGAGCCATAGTGGTTTTCTGGTGGTTAATTGGAGATAAGAGTCTCATGGACTTTCCTGTCTGGGTGGGCTTTGAACCATGATCCTCAGATCTCAGCCTTCTTAGTAACTAGGATTACAGGCATGAGCCAGTGGCGCCTGGCAAATTTTATCTTCTATAAACAAACAGTATTATGTCCCCCAGTCTACAGTACTTTTCTTTTTTTTCGGTCATGGGGCCTGAACTCTGGACCTGGGCACTGTCTCTCAGCTCTTTTTTTGGGGGGGTCAGTCGTGGGGCTTGAACTCTGGGCTTGGGCGCTATCCCTGTGCTCTTTAGCTCAAGGCAAGCGCTGTACCACTTGAGCCACAGCACCACTTCCAGTTTTCTAGTGGTTTTATTGGAGATAAGAGTCTCACTGACTTTCCTGCCCAGGCTGGCTTTGAACCGTGATCCTCAGATCTCAGCCTCCTGAGTAGCTAGTTACAGGTGTGAGCCACCGGGGCGCCCGGATGTCCCTCAGCTCTTTAGCTAAATGCTATCACTCTACCACTTGAGCCACACCACCTCTTCTGGCTTTTTCTGCTTATGTGGTGCTGAGGAATGGAACCCAGGACTTCATACATGCAAGGCAAGCACTATACCACTGAGCTACCTTCCCAGCCCTTATAGTACTTTTCTAATCCTAGAGTGTGATTTGCTTTGAATAAGACAGAGATTTGAAAAATAGGAAGTCCAACTAGAGAAAAATCTTGCACAGTATTATATTTCCCAAATATATCATAATCCTAAGGCACATCAACAGAAACAGACTTGAAGTATCTAAGGAAGTTCAAGTTTCTTGCTACACCACTAAGCTACTTAAGTACTACTGTGAATGTTATTCCATCAATCTTTTGATCATAATATTATGCAATTAAAAAGTTAGCAATCTAAGCCGGGCGCTGGTAGCTCACGCCTGTAATCCTAGCTACTCAGAAGGCTGAGATCTGAGGATCACGGTTCAAAGCCAGCCTGGGCAGGAGAGACCGTGAGACTCCTATCTCCAATAAATCACCAGAAAACCGGAAGTGGCGCTGTAGCTCAAGTGGTAGAGCGCTTGCCTTGAGCTGAGCTCAAGGACAGCGCCCAGGCCCAGAGTTCAAGCCCCACGACCGACAAAAAAAAAAAAAAGTTAATCTGGGGCTGGGAAGGTGGCTCAGTGGTAGAGCGCTTGCCTTGCATGACTGAGGCCCTGGGTTCGATTCCTCAGCACCACATAAGCAAAAAGAAAAAAAGCCGGAAGTGGCGCTGTGGCTCAAGTGGTAGAGCACTAGCCTAAAAAAAAGTTAACAATCTGTCTCATAAGATAAGTCAAACACAAGGTCAGATTTTCAAAAGCCTAATACTATTTCAACCCCCATCCAACTCCATGAGTATCAACAGAAATGTCACTTAACTCTCATAAAACATTTATAAGGAATTCACCATCATCAGTTATTTAATACTCAAACAAAGGCAGAGATAAAAACATAAGGCAAACTAAATGATTAAAAAAGAAGTACAAGCTAGCACCAGTAGGTCATGCTAGTAATCTTAGCTACTTAGGAGGCTGAGATCTGAAGATCATGGTTTGAAACTAGCCCAGAAAGTAAAACCTGTAAGACATTTTTTTTTGTCATGGGGCTTCAATTCAGGGTCTAGGTACTGTCCGTGAGTTTTCTTGCACAAGGCTAGTGCTCTACCACAGCTCCACTTCTGCTTTTCTGGTGGTTAACTGAAGGTAAGTGTCTCAGGGACCTTCCTGCCCAGGCTGATTTTAAACCATGACCCTTAGATCTCAGCCTCCTGAATAACTAGGATTACAGACACCAAAGCCCAGCTGCCTATGAAACTATGAGCACAAAAGCCGAGAGGCAGTGGGCAGGACCAGTAGTTCAAGCCCCAAGACCAGTGCATATGCACAAATTACAGTTAAACTATAAATCCTCACCACAATTGACTATTCTATACCAAATACATGAATCTGTCAGGAGACCGATAGAAAGGATGACACTGATAAAGATACATTTTACTAATAAACTGACGTGTTAAAAATTGATACTCCTTTGTAAAGGTAATTTTAAAAAATAAATTTAATTTTTTAAAAAAGGAAGCTATCTTCCAACATCAAATAAAGTTTACCTAAGCTGAAAGAATACATCTTCATCCACAAATCCAAAGGTATCATGTAGCTTTGTAACCACTCCTGTGAAAACTCGCTGTTTCTGAGGCTGAGTTTGTTGCTGACTGGACCGTGGTGTTGGATATGATACAGTTATCTGTGCTGCAGGCTGAGGAGTAGACAGGCTAAGGCTCGTAGGCAGTGCAACCGCTGGCTAGCAAACAAAATCAATTATCACATTAAAACACTAACATAACAATTTGTAAAAAACTAAAATAACTGTTTAGAATCAAATCTGAAAAACTAAATTATTTTCAACCTATTTCATCAAGTTTTAAGTGTTTTAATAGTCCATACCAAGAAAAAAGGTATACTAAGTTTCAAAAACATTATTTTAGTTATTGAGTAGAAATTCAAAATCCACTCTAGCAACTGGGTGCCGCTGGCACTCTGTAATGCCAGCTACTCAGGAGGCTAAGATCTGAGGATCTTAATATGAAGTCAGCCTGGACAGAAAAGTCCTTAAGGTTCAATCTCCAATTAATCAGCTAAATACAGAACTGGACTCAAAGCTTAAGCAGAAGAGTACCAGTCATTAGCAAAGAGAGTGTGAGGCTCTGAGACCAAGTCTTGGTACTGGCACCAAAAGAAAAGAACACACGCACACGCGTGCATGCGCACACATACACACCAGAGTAGAAGTGTAGTTCAAGTGGCAGAGTAGCAATCTTGGGTGAAAAAGCTAAGGGACAATACCCAGGTACTGAGCTCAAGCCCCAGTACTGGCAAGGGGAGGGAGGGGGCGAGGAAGTCATTTCCTTTTTAAAACTGCCTAGTAGATTTCATTACAATTTCATAACATGAAAACATTCCAGGTCAGGAAACTATGGTCTCTAGGCCAAATATAGCCCATATCTTGTCTTTATACAGTTAACAAGCAGAAAATGGCTTAAAAGAATATGTGACAAAATTCTGTTGGGTGCACAAACATATGGTAATGCTATACATTAAAATCTAGGGCCAAGCCAGGTGCAGGTGGCTCACGCCTGTAATCCTAGCTACTCAGGAGGCTGAGATCTGGAGATTGTGGCTTAAAGCCAGCCCCAGCAGGAAACTGGAAGTGGCGCTGTGGATCAAGTGGTAGAGCGCTAGCTGGACCTGAAGAGCTGAGAGACAGTGCCCAGATCCAGAGTTCAGGCTCCATGACCCTACCACCCCCTGCCAAAATAAAAATCATTAGTGCCTAGTGGCTCCTGTCTATAATACTAGCAACTCAGGAGACTGAGATATGAGGATGCTGGGCAGGAAAATACATAAGATTCTTTTTTTTCTTTTTTTTTTTTTGCTTATGTGGTGCTGAGGAATCGAACCCAGGGCCTCAGGCATGCAAGGCAAGCGCTCTATCACTGAGCCACCTTCCCAGCCCTACATAAGATTCTTAACTCCAATTAAATACTAAAAAAGCCTGAGGTAGAGCTGTGGTTCAAGACATAGGGCACTAGCCTTGAGTGAAAGAATTCAGGGACAGCACCCAGGCCCTGAGTTCAAGCCCCAGGACTGGCAGAAAATAATAGTAATCAGCAAAATTGTGAGCACTGGTGGCTCAAACCTGTAATCCTAGCTACTCAGAAGGCTGAGATCTGAGAATCACGGTTCACAGCCAGCACCAGCAAGAAAGTCCAGGAGACCCTTACTTCCAATTAACCAACAGAAAACCGGAAGTGGTACTGAAGCTCAAGTGGTAGAATATTAGCCTTGAGCTGAAGAGCTGAGGGACAGAGCTCAGGCCCAGATTTCAAACCCCACAATCAATAACAACAAAAGGAAATAAAAGGGCTATTAATGTGGCTCAAGCAGTAGAGCACCAGGAATAGTAAGCACAAAGCCCTGCACTAAAACACTAGTGCAAAGAGAAGAACCAAAAAATCAAAAACAAACCAAGGAGCTGAGAATGTGGTTTAGTGGTAGAGTGCTTGCCCCTAGCATGCATGAAGTCCTGGTTTGGTTCCTCAGTAGCACATACAAAGAAAAAGCCTCAAGTGGTGCTGAAGCTCAAATGGTAGAACATTAGCCTTGAGCTGAAGAGCTGAGGGACAGTGCCCAGGCCCTTAGTTCAAGCTCCAGCACTGGCAAAAAAACAAAAAACAAAATAAAAAACAACAAACTTCCGGTCCTCGTAAATGTTAAGCATTGTCTCTCCTTCTGCACTATATCTTCAATCACTAACATGCCAATTTTTTATTATTGTTGGTCATGGGACTTAAACTCTGGGCCTGCAAGTTGAACCTCAGCTTAAGGCTAGCGCTCTACCACTTGAGCCACTGCACCACTTCCAGTTTTCTGTGTGATTTATTGGAGATAAGAATTTCAGGGGCTGGGAAGGTGCCTCAGTGGTAGAGTGCTTGCCTTGCATGCCTGAGGCCCTGGGTTCCATTCCACAGCACCACATAAGCAAAAAGTAAAAAGCTAGAAGTGGCACTGTGGCTCAAGTGGTAGAGC